AACACACACACACACACACACACACACAGACACACACACACAGACACATAGACACGTGCACACAAACACACACACACACACACTATCATCATTCCCTAATCGTCACAAGTGACTCAATCAAACCGACACATTCTCGCAACAATTTACTGAACTGAAGGGAAAGGATGAGTGCACTAAATCTCAGTTTTTAGCCCATTGATAGCAGTGTAACATGTACCTGTCTGGATATGTCCGTCTTGTTCAGCTGCTCCACCAGGGACCAGACTCTTGATGTAAATACCTCCATAACGGAGACCTGTGTTCACTCCTCCCTGTGCATTCACACATCAAGTTATACCACATTTATACAATATACAACAGTAGTACAACATTTTTTTAATCCAATGTCTTTATTTAATAAGAAAGAACCCCTTGTGGAAAGAAGTGTGCTTAATTGTATTGAATGTGCACTTGTACTGTACTTCAAATCTTAAAAGTGTGTTTTTTTAACTACTTGTAGATAATATAATATTAATGAAATAAAAGGCTACTTTAATGTACTCAAAGAGAGTATGCTTTCACGACACTTAGTATACTTACATTAAAGAGTGCACTTTGTAACAATGTCAGATTAAAAGTTTTACTTCAAAGTAAATTCAGATCATTGTTTTAATAGTTTTTTTGTCGTACTTTAAAGAAGTACACTTATTTTGCTAAGTGTTGATTAACATACTAAAGCACATGTAAAGTACTTGATTAATTTGAACTGTAGACAAAATGGCATTAAAGTGTATTTTGTTTAGCATAAATGCTTGTCAGTACATTCGGCAGGACACTTTAACTATATTTCAAAGACAATAGAAGTAATTATGAAATTACATATAGAACTGTAGAGAAGTCCTATTAAGTGGGTCAAAAAATACTCTTAAAGAAAATGCATTTAATAGAATTTAAACTATAATACATTTTCTTTTAATTTAATGCAATCAAGTGTCAGGAAACATTACATTCAGTTCAGACTTAAAGTATAATATTCTGTTCTTTTCAGCACAGAATAATGCATTCAGTGTTGGTTTTCCAGTCTGATGGTACTGTCTTCTAAACTCTGTGACATTTAGTCCAAATGCCTCTCAAGCTGCTTAACCCCATTTAGAGAGATAAGCCGTAGTCTGTTTTTAGGCTGTGATTCCCGCTTCCACACGCTCATGGCTGTAGTCATGTGACCACTCTTCCTCTTTGCCCTTTGGCTGCTGATTCTCTTTGACCTTCTGTGATACACTGACCTCGTGGAAGACGTCCAACAGCTACTGTAACCTCAAGTTTTGTCTGTGTAAATATTACTGGTATTGCTAAAAAAGAAAAAAGTATTCTTCTTTTAAACTGAAAATAAGAGAGTATGCTTTCAGTCTAATCAGTGGTATACTTATACTGACATACAGAAAAGTCCAAGTATATTTGGCCAATGCTTGTACTTAAGAAAATAGCAATCAAGTACTCTAAGTATACTAGGCTTGTGGTTGTGTTTACATTTTTTGATAGAGTAGCATATTAATACACTTTTTTCACCATACTGGTTTTTACATACTATCTTATAACCTTACATTTAAAGTAACAAGTCAGCTTTGTGGTGGAATATTTCCTTACAAAGATTTTATTCGTAAGTAAAGTTCAAGTATATTTTCCATGTGGTAAGAATCAGTGCACTAGTAATATACTTGTAGTACTTCTTGGAAGTAAACTGGCCCACTTTTTAATACTTTTAAGTGTACTTTAAGTGCAGTAAACTTACAGTACAGAACTAGTTTTTAATTTCGGTAGCATCCCAAATATGCCACAAGTGAACTTGCAGGAATACTATAGTTTGCTAGTTATTTACTTCAAACCCAAAGTAGCCTACATTTTGTAGTAGTATAGTTGCAACACTAAAGAAACACTCAGATGTAAACTAGTTACACTTAAAAGTATACTTTTATAAAGTAAATAGAGGGCCATTTTAGTCCCAAGAAGTGAAATAGTACAAATATAAGTATACTGCTAGTACACTGATATTACTACACAGGTGTACTTTGAAAGTATACTTGAACTTTACTCTCTTTTTTCATCTTTAATATAATTAACTTGAAGTTAGTTTTTTTGCTTGCTAAGGTTGTCTAAATTTCTGAACATATATATATATATTTTATGTGCCTCTGTTTAGTCTCAAGAACTAGAAAACGCAGTGTGCTTACAGCGATACTGATGCCCAGACTCCCTCCAGATTTCTGAAGTGTTACAGTAAAGTCTTCAGGTCTCAGGCTGATCAGAGACGCTGACCTGGAATAATCATCCTGTAATACAAAAAACAGACAGAATGGACACATCTATTAGACATGCTTCTCTTTTACCTCTCTCTCTTATCTTATAACTTATAACATTTTCAGTACCTGAGCGTTTATAATGCGAACCTCAGGAACATGGAGCCGGTTCGTTCCTTTAGGGGTCATCATAACGCTGACCAGCTCGTCCAGATAGTGGTCTCCTGCTTGACCGTCGGCCAGTATGGTGCTCTGAGACTCACAGTTCCTCTCTGCCAGATGACCAGCGCCTCCACGCTTAAACAGAGCTGATGAATTCACAACGCATTCTTTACTTCATTCATCTCTAAGCAGAATTATATGAGCAGTGCTGGCTTTTCATTTATAAACTACACTCCAAAAAGACATTCAGGGCACCACAACTTAAATAAATGCATGGTTGCGGGTTAAAAATTCTAATTTATTGATAACCTTTAATTAAACCTTTTAAGTTGCAAACATTATTTTGATGAGTCATAATAATGTTGATCATTACATCAACGTAATTTTGCATGCAATTTAAAATGAATTTTGTTGTTATATCTTAATGAAATTGTCTTGATAACTTAAAAAACTAGGAAGTGGATTTCTAGTTCCCAGCATGCTTTGCATAGGACTGGATAAGGAGAATAAATGTTGAAATTATGTGTTATTTTATGTGTTTTTTAGTGAAGGGAAAGACCTGCTATAGTACTTAATGTTATATTTGTCATTTAAAAGAGTTTCTGTCGACGTTTTTGTAGATATATACTACAGGTGCATCTCAATAAATTAGAATGTCGTGGAAAAGTTCATTTATTTCAGTAACTCAACTCAAATTGTGAAACTCGTGTATTAAATAAATTCATTGCACACAGACTGAAGTAGTTTAAGTCTTTGGTTGGTTTAATTGTGATGATTTTGGCTCACATTTAACAAAAACCCACCAACTCACTATCTCAACAAATTAGAATACTCCATAAGACCAATAAAAAAAACATTTTTAGTGAAATGTTGGCCTTCTGGAAAGTATGTTCATATACTAAGAACCAAAGACTTAAACTACTTCAGTCTGTGTGCACTGAATTTATTTAATACACGAGTTTCACAATTTGAGTTGAATTACTGAAATAAATGAACTTTTCCACGACATTCTAATTTATTGAGATGCACCTGTACACTTAACGAGCAATGACAGTGATATTTTGCTTGTTCGGTAAATGTACGTTAAATTAGTTACTTTTATCATGTGCTGCGCTAGCCGTTTATTTTAAACTGATATAGATAAGATGAACTGGTTCTACAGAGCCACCACACAATTATGTTGAAACTGGTTGGAACAACTTCATTTATATGAGAAATCAACTTAAAAATGTGTGTTTATGCTACAAATTTAGTTCCTCTAACTCAGTTTGTTGGTTGAACATAATTTCATCAGTTGTCAAACTTAAAAAGATTGATGCAAACTGTTCATTTTTGTTGTTGTTGTTGTTGAGCCCAATGCTATTTTAGTATAACTAAGATACTATTATAGTTTTGTTTAATATTTTTTAATCATTTTTATTTTTGTATTTTCCGCTTTCATTTTAATTTTAGTTAAAGTTTTAGTCATTTTGTTGTGTGTCTTAGTCATTTAATTAGTTTTTAGTTTTTTAAACGTTGTTTAACGGGGCCGTTGAATGCTTGAATCTGATTGGCTGACGAACGTTCTAATGTGTGCAATTATTTTCAGGGAAACGCACAGCTGAAGTAGTTCCTGCTTTGCGTCGTGGCTGCATCACCATTATTGTCTAATAATTTTAAAAAAAAAATTTCAGTTTTAGTTTTGGTTATTTTAGTAAATCAAGCTAAACTAAATAAAAATGAGAAATGTTGCTTTGGCAACTAGTTGAAATAACGTTTATTTTGTTTCAAGTAGCGTTAATGTTTTTATGATTTTAGCTTTAGGGGGCGTTTACACAACACCGATTTTAACTAAAAACTTAAAACATTTACATGACAATGGCGTTTTGGGGGCCTGAAAACGCAAACTTTTGAAAACTGGTTTCAAAGTGCAAGTTTTTGAAAGCGATACTGTTATCGTCACAAATTTCACAAATTTGTGAAAATGGTGACGTCATGCACATGCGTATTGTTCAGGTATGCGCGCAGGCGTGTAGTGTTTCTTAAAGGGGACATCGGATGCAAATTCACTTTTACATGGTGTTTGAACTTAAATGTGTGTTGGCAGTATGTGTACACAACCACCCTACAATGATAAAAATCCACCCAGTACTTGTTTTTAAATCCCCACAAATCAGCACTTTCTCAGAGCAAGCCGTTCACAGATTCTTGGCAAAGTGACGTCACTTTGCACAGGCCCCTCCCACGACTGTTGACGGACACTGCCGTTTTAGCATAGACCCGCCCTGAGTGAGCTGTAAACAGTCCGCCATTGTTTCGCCGCCGCCGCAGGTGTAGACAAGATTGTCTCCTAAGCGATTGAGGTATTTTGTTTTTGGATGTAATAATGAACATAGCAGTCATCTTACTCCCGACATCTGAGCCTCTGAAGACGCAGTGGATTACTTTTGTTTTTGAAGGGAATACGCCCCCCACCCATTGCAAAGACTGCTTTCTGAACGAGGGACAATTCAAGGCAGGTTTTGCTAAAAAGTTTAAATTCAAGGATGGATCAGTACCCACTGTTCGTAATCCAGCTGCACCTCCAGAAGAAGTAAGATAGATAGATAGTGAGCGGGGTGAGCAGAGCTCATTAGCATTTAAAGAGACATGCACCGAAACGGGTCACTGTGAACAGAGACAAGGTAAAAAGGGTGTTGTTTTACACGACCATTGAGGAATTTTAACCAAAGTATGTTGCAGACATTTCATGAAGACCCTAAAGAATCACACCAACTTGTGGAAAATGGGCATCCCATGTCCCCTTTAACAAAATGGCATCGCCAACTACTGGCCTGGCATGCTTAATACAGCGTTTTTAGTTGTTTTCGCTGATCTGTGTGAACAAGGATCATTGTGACATCGCCTTTTCAAAAATGCAAAGGAAAAACTTTTCAGTTTTCAGTTTTCAGTACATCGTTGTCATGTAAACGTACCCTTAGTTAACTATAATAACCCTGGTAAAGCCCAAAACATTTGTTTTTAGAGTGTGCTGATGTTATATCACATGTGCAGTGGAATATATAAAGCAAGATGGTACCTTTTGTCTGTGAGACGATGAGCTCCACCTCACTGGAGCTGCTCTGCATGATGTCAGCGGCCTCGCTGAAGGACACGCCCTCCAGACTGAGCTGGTTCAGAGAGATCAGTCGACCACCTGACAGAAACACGGAGCTCAGCTTCACTGATGTTCACACAGAGGCTTCTGAGATCATGACTGGACATTATCAGTGCAGATAATCTGATGATCGTGAGGATTCACCTGGTTTGATGTGTCCATCTCGGTCAGCTGGGCCTCCAGGTATCATGGAT